CCCCTTGGGGGATGTCCAACTGCCAGTTTAGGCCTGATACCTGTGGGATCAGGCCTAAACCGGCAGTCGGACATCCCTCTCGCAATCCGGAACCACTGGCTCCTAACCGCTCACCTGCCTGCCTGCCTGATCACCCCTAACTTCTCTCCCCTGACGGCCTGATCGTCCATAACCACCTCTGCCTCGGCTTTGTCTGGAAGGACGTCTGAAAGACATTTGGAAGACATCCGGTCTAATTAGCATATTACCCTTTTATTAGTATATATATATTTCAATGAACATACATATAGGTATTAAATATATGTGTACACAAGCATACTGAGCATTAACCCAGGAAGAGGTCTGGTCAAAGAAAATTGTTGAAAAATGCTAAATACTAAATTGAACGAATATTGTTTTGCATGTTGAGTCCATTAATGGTGGAGTACTAAGTTTGCAATAAGGAATTTCAAGCTTCTGTGGACCCATTATTGTCCTTTTTTCAGAAGTCAATCAGTGGAGTTGTTATTAACAATCTAGAACTATCACTGTGTGTTATTATGATATTACAGAGTCTGTAAAGCTTAACCTAAGGCTCACATTTTCTGCTATTATTATGTCCATATGTGTACATATCAGTTACCTGCATTTTTAGAAATTAGCTAAATGACTCTGTTTCTTGAAAACTGGGAGTGTGTGAAGAATCACACAAATACATGCATTATCACAAACCCCCATTATATTTTGACTTTCCAGAGTTTGATGGTAGTTTAGGTAAAGGCAGATGATGTAGAATTTTGTGCATTAAAAATGGAAAATTTCTTACCATATTTTTGAGAAGTGTTCTAGTCACCAGACAACTTGATAACAATGCCCGACCATTGTGTCTTCTTAAAAAAATTTTTTTATTGACTTTAACAGAGAGAAGAAGGAGAAGAAAGAGAGAAACATCTATGTAAGAGTGAAACATTGATTGGATGCCTCCTGCACACCCCCTTTCTGGTGATCAAGCCAGCAACCAGGCATATATCCTAACCAGGAATTGTCCCAGCAATCTTTCCGTGCATGGAACAACTGAGCTGCACCGGCCAGGGCTAGCCATTGTGTCTTTACAGTGCATTCACAAAGAACACCATGTGGAACCGAGAATTATTTTTACGCATTCTATATTGTTAAACTTCTTAAGTAAAGACAAAATTAAAAGGACTGATTTTAAAATATGACATGAGCATGCTGAGCCTCCTACTAGAACTCACATAGTAGGGGACCTCTGGCGTTGCTGTTTATTAACAATGATTCTGGTTTACATGACACTTTTATGTTGAAGCAGGAAGCTGTTTGGGATTTTAAAATGTGAATTATATTTCCATTGTACTTCCACTGAATTATGAGCCAGGGAATTATTTAACATTACTAGTGCAGTTAACTCAGAAGCTGGATCTCTTTGGTGTGTTAATGAAGTACGTGATTTCTTGCATCTGCAGGACAGCTTAAATGTCATTCTGAGAATTCTTTTTCAGGTAAATTGCGTATTTCACTGTCACCTTGGTAGAAAGAATTTTAAAACAAAGATAATGTTATTGACACTAAAAAAAACAACACACAAGAGAGTATTATAATTTATTAAATTAGTCTCAGACTTTGGAAATATAATGAAATATTTTGTGACTAAGTAGCTATAACATGGGAGATGTATATAAGGTACACTTTTCAGAACGAGTGTGGGGAGGGGTGCTTGTGCTTAAAAAATAAATTATCTGGGTGTTAGATACAGTAAACTAGGTCATACTTTGTAGTTGCCACCCAGTATAGAGTCAAAGTTGATTTCTACATAATGTAGTGCAATGCCATTCAATTCATCTTTGCAATGCAGATATAGAACATTGTTCCTTTCATTTTTATTTATTTTGCTCTATAAATAATCCTATCAGGATATTGATAATGATAACTAAAATCACGACTGGTGCTATCACATTTGGAATTTTGCATGTACAGTACAGTATGCTAAGCTCTTATACGCATGATTTCATTTTATGCTCAAGTCAACCCAATGCAATAGGCCTCAACAGAGTGGTTAAATGGTTTGGCTCTGAACTCAGTGCACATCCTCTATTTTCTGCTCTACCTATCATGAGCTTTGTGACCTTATTATCTACCTCCCTTTGTGTTAGTTATCTCATACACAGACATCTAATGATCGTAAAATGAAAATGACAATTATATGTCCTATGCAGATGCTGTGATGATTAAATGAGTGCTTGGCACATGATAAGCAGTTTGTAAATGTTGTTGCTATTAATATATTTAGATCCATGTTACAGTTCAGAAAATTAAGACTTAAAGATGCAAAGAAAATTTTTAATATTATCTAGCTATGAAACAGTTTACACAAGATTTAGATCTAGGTATTCTTTCTGAAATTAGAACCACACTTTCAAATAATATGGCTGTACTGTCTAATAACACTAATATAGGTTTTTCAAATATTATCAATATTTTGACCCTTATCCATGGAGAATAATATACTCTTTATATAAAGAGGCTGAGTATTTTCACCAAATATAATTGAAAATGGGGGTAGAGTGTTTTATGCTGGGTATAGTGTTTTAGTAATTATTTACCAATATTGTATGTAAATAGATGAAGGAGGCATAATCTTCATGTTTTGAGAAATCCCCCTTTGCTAGCATATATGTGCATTAGAATAGTCTTTGTTGGAATGAAAAAAATAAAATAACCTTATAAAAAGGTGCATGTGCTCCTAAGAGTAAACTGAAGAATGAATGTAAATTAGCAATTATGAATTGTGGGATGAAGAAAGCATGACAACTGATGTTTATGGGGGAAATAGGACTAACAATTATTGAGGCAGTACTGTGGCTCTACATATTCATTCTCTTTTTGTAATCCTTACCCAAAGATATGTGGATATGTTATTTTTACTTTAGAGAGAGAGTGGTCGGGAACGGGAAATGGAGAGAAACATCGATGTGAGAGAGTAATATCAATTAATTGCCTCCAGTATGCTCCTTGACTAGGGATTGAACCTGCAACCTAGGTATGTACCCTGACTGGGAATCAAATATACAATCTTTTGGTGTATTGGATAATGCTCCAACCACGTGAGCCACCTGGCAGGGCTACATAATCCCTGTTATATTAATGATCAAATAACCCTATAAGAATTATTTTCCAATTGTAGAAGTAATACAATTGATACTCGTAGATATTTGATAATGTTCTCAACATCTTAATAATAAAACAAAAGAGTTATAAAGACCAACAGAAGAAAGACATATAAGAAAATAATATTTTAATTAAAATATGTGTGTGTTGCAATTAAACATGAAGGTCATTTAGAATGGTATTCTAACATCTGACGACAGGTTTTTTTTGATTTATGAAAAATAAATTTATTACATAACACCTTATTTTTAACAATGTTCAATTTTTTTAAATTCAGAATACTTGTGTCATTCATGTAAAATAGTTTGATACAGTACATTGTATGTTATAGGGTTTATTTTTCCTCAAAAATTCTAAGGCTCTCCTACTCCTTCTCCTTTGCTGAAGTAAGGGCACCCTAAACAACGTGCGAACAAGTTTTAAAAAAGAAAACAAACTGAATAAAATTTTAATAGCACTACACCAACCAGCTTTAAAATCAACAAAATATCTGAACTGGATGCCACACCTTTTTAAGGAAGTTACCATTCATGCTTTTTCATCTTAAAGCATGCTCACAAATCAGTAACACTAACAGGAAAAATAAAACACTGTCTATGACAATCATTTTAGTTTGTTTGCTGAACCAAACAGGTTTATATCAATGACAATATATTTAATTACTATCAAATAGCAGCTTTAATACCAGTCAAGTCATAGATTGAAAATAAAAACAAACTTATAGTGGGAAATTAATCTTTGGGAGTTTTGAAACCTTTCTGGAAAAACTATGTGGCTTTTTGTACTTTCAAAAAAACCCAAGCAATATAATCTTGGTCAAAAAACACTGATTAATGTAGAAAATGAATCAACCCACTGATAAGACACTAGGATGAAAGGTGTACCAAAATAATCTCATTTTGAGTCTCAGTTATTTTGTTGAGTTAACACATACTGTATGTTTCAAGTACCAGTTAAACTTTTTGTGTGTGTACGATTGGTCAGATAATGTTACACTGAAAGAATTCACCACATACAACAACAAATGCTTGCCCCTAGCACATTTCACAGCTTCAACTGCTACAGACTGTCACTGAAAAAAATGCATTGGTCAGTCTGAACCATGTCAAGTAAACTATGGAAGTAGCAAATCCACAACACAAACTATGCTAGCACTTTCTGTTCAAGTCTAACCCCAAAATAGGTACAATTTGGAAGCCACTACCCCAGTCTGTGCAAAGTGGTGGAACTTGGCTATTGGACATTTTGAATATGTGGTTGTACAGTACATTCTCATGGCCCATACCAGGTTCCCGCAGAGAGCTGCACAGTTAGTCCGGCAGCATTAGCAACAGTGCATTGACAATATTCCAACGCAGCTCAGTACCGGTGTGTCTGATGTGAGTACTGTGGAAGCTGCTGGGAGGTAGTTGAGTAGCCCACGCTGCTCTGTGGCTGTGATGTGCTTGGTCCAGGATTGGGATAGGCAGCGTGTGGATTGGAACGCTGATAGTCTGAGGTCATGATCAGTCCATCTGAGGTAGTGGTAGGAGGAACAACTCTCACTTTTTTCAACGGGGGTCCCTGTGTATGACTGCTATCTTGATTCCCTGGGTGACCATTTCCAATAGTGTGATTATTGCCCTGTTGCTGCTGCTGGTTCTTTTTGTCTCCTTTGTCATCAGGTTCTTCTGCTGTTAAAAATTCTCGTTTTGGGTAAGGGATTTGACAATTCTCGTTTTGGATAAGGGATTTGACAACCGGCAAAAACATCTGATGTAGGAAGTGGGTCTTCTAAGAAATAGGGATCCTGCATAGCCTGTTCTGAGGTAATTCGCTTTATTGGGTCCATGGTAAGCAACTTCTGAAGCAAGTGGAATGCTTTACTATCTGGTTTAACTTTATGTTTTTCCATATACTTGATAAGGCTGCAGTTGGTATACGTATTTCTTCTGAAATCTTTCATTAATGTTGAATATTGAGGCATCTTTTTTATATCTTTCCAATCTTTAACTGCAGGGAATCCCATTACATTGAATATTCTGTCCAGCTGGTCATGGTGATAAGGATTACTAGTTTTGATGTCCTCTTGTTGACAGTGAAATATTGGTTCTGACGTTAGTAGCTCTGCAAATATACACCCTATAGCCCAAATATCAATAGCTTTGGTATAATGTCTTGCTCCAAGAAGTAATTCTGGAGCTCGGTACCAGGATGTTACAACTACTGGATCCACATCTGCTAAAGGCTTCAAAGGTGAATTAAATAATCGGGCAAAGCCCATATCAGCAATTTTTACTCTTCCTCGCTCAGGACCTTCACCCATAACTAAAATATTAGCAGGTTTCAAATCTCTATGCAACACCCAGTTATCATGCAGGTAGTGAATCCCATCTAGGATCTGATATAATAGTGACTTCACCATTCCCCGAGATAACTGAACTGGCTTCTTATTTGCTTTAGAAGCTCCGTGAAACTTGATTATATGCCAGAGGTCATGTTCAGCGTAGTCAAACAGAAGCCATACTTTCCTGTCTGCATGAGATAGAAACACCTTTTGAAGAGAGATGACATTTGGATGCTTAAGCTCTCGAAGTAATGCTATTTCTCTACATGCCGACATAGAGATTCCGGTTCCTTCTATTTGTTTTAAAGCATAGTCTTTATCATCTTTTCCATCCTTCCTCTTGGCTTTGTAGACGTGACCATAAGTGCCTCGGCCAACTTTGCAGCCCTCGTATTCAAACAGGTCCTCGACCCGCTCCCGCTCGCTGCTCAGCTTCACTTTAAAGTCATAGTCCATTGTTGTGGTCCAACCCCAGCAGGTCCAGGGGTCCCCAAAGGTGTGGATGGAGTCGGCGAAGAAGGAAGGACACAGAGACAGCGTTCAGTTGATCAGCAGCCTAGCCAGGATCTCTAGCCAGGATCTCCAGCCAAGTTCTGGTTTGGATCTCCACCCAAGTTCTGGTGTTTATTGTCTCATTACATCAGTATTTATACCAGTTGATTTTAATCTTATCAATTTCTATTGCAAAGGTTAGGGCGTTTCTTATCTCCATTCCAGGGAGTAAAGATTATGTAGCTTAAGCGTGATTGTTTGTAGTTAAAGTGATTAACTACCCGCCTGGCACTTAGTTAAGGGGTTGTATCCCCTCCCTAACCTCAGGGGAAAATCCCCACCTGGGGAAACAACCTTTCTCGGAGAGGTGACCTTGGTTAAAACACATGG